CTTGCTGTCATCCTCCTGCTTCAGCCTCTTGACTGTTGGGATTATTTGCATGTATTGCCACCCTTGTATGGAAAAATGGTGAAAGTACAAGTCTCTGGGAGCCTATAGTGCAGCAGCATCTATCTGGACCATTACAACATTCAGCACTGATTGTACCATATCTATGCCTGATACTTTTCTTATTGGCTGCCTCCTCTCATCATCCTAACTTCCAAACTCAGTTTAGTGTTCTTCCTTATCACCTTGCTATCTACCCAGTTCACTGAGAAGGGGTTGGTCTTTCTGTGTTTGTGTCTGTCAGTCATTTTTTTCTGTCTGTCTCATGCTGGGCAAAAAAACCCCCAATGTGCAATCTCAGGGTGCATAGTTTCCCTCAGCCTCCTCCAAAAGGTGCAGGTATACAACTTAAGCTTTGATGACAAATATTTGGGGACCTGTGGATTCTGATTGATCCTTCCTATTGTTTTTTCTGCCTTCTCTCCTTAGTTTATGCGAGCAGGAAGAAAATGAACTTGGGCAAGATTCACTAGATGAAAAATATTTGCTTCCTTCCTGTCTTCCTGATGAGCCCGAGCCCGATGAATGTACAAGCATTGCGACCTTCCCATCACAGAAGCCTGAAGACCGCTTTGCTCTGGATGGGTCCAGTGAGTACTGACATCACCCTGCAGATAAGTGCAGCTCCTTTGTCTAGGGCTGTCTGTGCTCAGCTGCTGTGTCTCATATGAGAGAAGTGACTGCAGGAGGCCCAGGAGGCCTGTTTTCTTTCAGACCTTGTACAGAGTCAAGCCTGTCTGTGGCTCCTCTGGTTTGGCCTCCTAATCTCTGAAAAATGAATCATGTAGTCTCTGTAGCTACTTTATTTTAGAATGGAAATCTGTGAATACACTTAAAAATGATGATCATTTTTGGTTTTCCAGATAGTGCAGCAGCATAAGCACCTGCCTGGCAAGTGCAGATTCCTGAATTTGTTGCCAGATATGGCATGCCATCCCAGTGCCAGAATCCCAGGCACACTGATCTGCCCTAGACCCCAGCATTCTGGAAGAGGCCTATAATCCCAGCACTAGGCAGGCTGAAGGTGGAGAATCACAAGGAGTCCATACTGCATAGTGTGATGCTGCTTCAAAAAATCTTAAAAAATATGATAATTTTCAGGCTTGGATTTAGATATTCAGTATAGTGACACCTGATTAGGAGAGTTTAGCTGTATAACTGAGTACTTCCCATGGAATTTTTTCTCATGACAGAGCTCAGCCTTAGTCACAACTGTTGCCAATAGTCAAAAAAATTTATTAACTTGAAAACCATAATTTATGTTAGGATGTACTCTCAGTGTTTAAGATCCAGGAGTTTTGGAAAAGGAATAATGTCAGTGATCCTTGGAGTCTGTGTCCTGAAAGTATTCTGTACTTACACATCTAGATTTCTTTCCTCAGTTCTCAAAGACAAGGCTTTGTGTACCATCAGTGATGTGGTTATTATTTGGAATTACATTGAAATGTTACCTTGATTCACAAAGAACTGATATATTCAAAGAGTTGAGACTTCTTTCTATACTTTACCTCCTTTTATACACTTGATCAGTGAGTCTGCTATGTTAATACACAAGGATTTTCTTGGTTTTATTCTGTGATTTGTGTTGGGTATTAAATTTCAAATATTCATTGTTGCTAATATGAGAAGCAGATATTCATTCATTAACTAGATAACTGATTTTTTTCAAAATGTTGTTTTGTTACTCTTAGAGATTAAAAAATCATACCTAAGTTATCTCCAAGTAAGGAACAATTTATTTATATTTTTGAAATTTGTTGATCTTGTATATTACTTGCTTTTGTGTAATCTCCCAACTGGAAAATAATGTTTAACAGCACAATTGAGCATGAGCATCCTTATGAAACTCTGTCCTTTGTGCAAGAGAATAGTTTCCCATGAGTGGGCAGGGTATCAGCCTTATCCCTTTGAAGAATTCACTAAATCACCCACATTGACCTCAAACTCGAGGTGAACCTTTTACTTCAGCTTTACAAATGTTGGGATTATAAGCAGGTGCCACAACACCTAACTGGAAGATAATCTTTCTTATAAGGTTGAGGATCCTTGTATTTGCAGGTTGATTTTTAATTATGACTGGGTTTTGGATTTTCACCTTGTACATATGTTCGTAGGATTTAAAATGTTTTTCTCAGTCTATTGATGTGATGCATTAATCAATGATCAAATGTTGAAACATATTTGTATTTATGGAATAAATTTCAACTAGGTGCCTTATAGCATGACGTTAGTATATATTTGTCCCATTCAACTTGCTAGGATATTTAGTTTTGTTTTGGTGTTCATGACATGTATTTGCTTATAGATTTTTGTTCTTCTAAGGTTTTGCGCATTTCTAAAATTGCATTACTGCTTGCATCATAGAACAAATTAAGAATTATTCTTTATGAATGTATTTGTCTGGAAATGGTGGTAGGGAACTGATGACATTTTTTCCTTTAATGCTTGGAAGAATTCAAGACACCACTGAGATTACTTGGGCCAAGTTGTTTTGGTCTTGGAAATTATAGGACCTGATATAATTTCTTTAATTGGTATAAACTTATTGTCAGAACTTTGATAAATTTGTCATTAAAGGGTCACCAAGTTAGGGCTAGGTGGGCTTTCGTGATATTCTTTTGTTTTACTTGTCACATATAGGGATGCATAGTGAGGGTGTCTTCTTCCACATTTTTCCAGAATAACTTCATCCTCGTAATTTCTTGTCTGCTGGACTTGGCAGTGTTTGTTTAGTGGCTGCTGCACTTCCCAAATGAAATACTGACATCATCTATTTCTCTTTGCAATTGTATCCATATTTTCATCTAATATATTTCTTTTTGAATAGCATGGATAGATATTTCAGAGAATAACATCTCTGTGGAGAATTTATCCTCTCTGAGTTGCTAATGGTCCTCTTTTTCCCAGATTATTTTTGATACTCTGAAGTTTGCATTGCCTGACTTTAGTGTACCTTTCTAGAATTGTCTTTATTAGTATTAATATGGTGCATCATTCACCATCTCCATATTTGATGTGAGTTCTTCTAGATAACATGGACTATTTTGCCAGTCATTTATTCTGAACTTCTTTAACTTTTAATAGGAAAATTTAAACTACTCCACTAGAGGTTTTTATTTATATAGTTGGGTAAATATGTACTATCTTAATTACTGCCTTATATTCATTGATTTTTTTAGGTTTTTGTATTTAGTATAGGGTCTACAGCGCCTACAGTGTCTCACTATGTAAATCAGACTCATAGTGATCTTCCTGTTTACATTCTCCCAAGTGCTGGGATTGGAGGCGTGCATCACCATGCCCAGTCTCAATCACCATCTCAGCATGTCCTGGGTACAGGGCTGGCATGGCAAGCCTGAGCATCGAACCGCTACCCCCTGCATCTGCCTAAGCAAGCACTTTAATCCACTGAGCTATTTGGCCAGCCCTTATTCATTGAATTTTACTGTGGGAATTTTTTCTTTGTTCTTAGTTTTTCTGATTCTCAGCCTTTAAATATGAATAGCTTCTCATTTTGTAGTTTTATGCCATTAAAAGTATAGCATTTTGATATTTTAAGTGAAAGTTCACATTTTCATATTTTAAACAAAATTTTGTTTTGTTAAATTTAATCTTAGTGTCTTACTGACATTTCTGAATTTCATTGCAGACAATCATGAAGATGAATTGTCTACAATAAAATATGAATTACTGAACCACAGGTAACAGTATAGACCTCAAAATGTGCTAAATGTTTTGGTCCCTCTAGTTTCTCAGGAGCATTGACCTTCCTGCTGTGTGTGAAACCAACACTGTAGGTTTGAGTCATTCCTGCAGTGTTCGTTTGCCCTGAGTCATCATTGCTTCCTACAGCAGTCTTCAACTCCTTTTCCATCAGCTCACTTTCAAGCCATTGCACTGTGCACTTGCTCCCTGTCCTGACCTCAGGCAGGCAGCTCCTGCAGAATTATTTTCTTTCTGTTTGTAGCTAGTTCCCCTTAACTTATAGCACCACTCAGTTATACTTCTGTCAGTATCCCCTGGGAATCTCATAGAGGATCCTCCTTGGTTTACCTATATTCTTTTTCTCACCAGGATGAACCCTGAGGCTGTAGACAAAGGAAAAGTCAAAATAATCCAGCAGGCTTCATTGTTGGGAAACCCTAAGTCTTCCTCCCATGGCTGTGACATTTGTACCTCCCAGGAGCCTCCTGGTGATCTGACAGCTGATCCTGAACTCTTCTTTTCTCTGGGAGAAAATTGTGAGTCCTCTCTTATGAAGTGAATTGCCCTCACTAAGCCTTATTTCTATGTATTCGAAACAAAATTCAGGGTATTGAAATAAGGAGCAGATGGAGTGGCAAGGTGGGTGGACTCTGGCCCTTTCTGTCCCTGTGGTGCCTGTGCCCATGAGGTCTGCACAGGCTCACTCTCTCACGTGGGTTCACTGACGCCCCTGCGTAGCACTTGCAAATGCTTGGCCATGAGTTGTATGCTTTCAACAGTAGTGACTGTCCCAATATGTTTTCCTATTGATTTTATCACTGGAGCTATTATTATGAGGCCTCCTCCCATGCATGCCCCCAGGTCTTTCTCTTCTAAGTTCTCTCACCTCTTCTAAGACATCATGTCCTAGTAGAATTTAAGCACTCCTTCATTGTGCCTGACTATAATCCTGAAGGCATATCATTATCCTTGATACTTTCATTTTCTTTTCTTTTTAAAAATTTTATAAAAAATCCCACCATGTCTTTCAGACAGGCTTTATATTCCCTATGGTGTCTAAGCTGATCTGGAACCCATTGCTAAAAAAATCACTACTTTTTTGTGGTACTGGGGATCAAACTCAGGACCTTGCGCTTGCCAGGTGGGTGCTTATGCTGCTGAGCTGTATCCCCAGCCCCAATTGGTATTCTGTTTCAGCTTTCTGAGTACTAAATTTACTGACATCAGTTATTGTGCCCAAGGAGTCCTGGTATTTTTAGCTGTAGGGTGCAAAGTATTCTCTGAGTATAACCATGTCACCTACTTTGGAGGCTGTATCCAGTCCTTATGTCAGTTTAGTCTCAGTGAGTTATCTGTAATCTATAAATGAGAATCATTTTGTCTAATGGAACATACAACCATTCTTGTAGACTTTTTCTATAAAGCAGTGCATTATTTTAACTGATTATTAGATTTAGTACAAATCCCGCAGTGATATTAACTGAGCAGGTTATCGAGAGCTGGCCAGATACTGAGTATGCAAGGAATCTAATATTTTTAGTAGGAAGGAGCAGACTTCCTATGATATTGTCCTCAGTGTTCTGTCCTCGAAGCCCGATCCCCTATATCTCTGTCTAACTTGGCTCAGTGTGTGCAGATGATCAGCTGCATTTCTGTTGTGATGATTTGTGTCTGCATATATTTACAGGTCCTCAGGAGGCTGAGAAAGAAGACAAGGAAGCAGAGGCCCTGGTGCCCAGGTGAATCTGAATACCATAGGCTATGAACACAGTGGTGACTCCTGGAGCCCTTAGGCCCCAGGAGAAGCAGATATTGCTGTATACTACTGCTTCCTCCTTTCTACCAAATATGAATGGGTTCTGTTTGACTGGTGCTTCCTCTTTGGGCTTGAACCTTTTTTTTTCTTATCATGTGTGGTACCCTAGAATCTTTGTGGGCGAAGGAGAGTGAATCTCTGGTTTGCCTGCACTGTTGTTGAAGGCTTAAACGTCTTGTGAGAAGTGATTGGAAGGAAGTGCACACTCTTTCTTCAAGTTAGGCTTCAGTTTCTTAACTGTTGATCCTTATTAAGAAAGGCAACTGGGCTAATTAGGTAATTATATCAAATTATATCATCAGTCTGATGGTTCTGTGATCTCTCAGGCTCAACAATGCCTCTGAAACCCTTAATAAAAAGAGCCCTCCTACAACAAGGAAGCGAATGCACTGGAGCTGCAGCCACTGCATATTTCACATTGTGTCCCAGTCACAGCTGTATCCTACCAGGAGTGCAGAGTCACCCTCTTATCTGCAAGTCCTCATCCCAGTGCACAGAGCACTGCTGCTGTCTAACCCATTCCCTGTCCTGTTGTAACCCCGATGGAAATCACGTACTCCTATGTGGCCATGTTCACTCTCTGAAGCCATGGCCTTTCTTTCTTTGTGGCCTCCCATTGTGCTTCATGTCAGAACCAGATAACCTTCATGTCAGAACCAGATAACAAGTTGTGCTATGCAATCTTTAATGGTTTATCTTTTGTTCTCCATACAGGGTTCTCCAGGAAAACAAGGATAAATATAATGTGCCACAGAACAAACTGAAGGAAGACTTACTGATTATTTTCCACTGCCAAGACCTATATAATTCCCATCACACTCCAGCATCCATGACTGAGGAGGATGCAGCTCCTAACAGTCTGAGTGTGGCGAGTGAGTTCCCCACTGCAAAGAGAATAAGGGTCTGGGTGGTCTCCTCGATTGCCTCTATAGTCTTTATTTTCAGACTTCAAAGGGGATAAGGATTTTTTTCTGCTGGCCTTCATAACAGGCTCACCTAGAGGTCAGTCAATTTCTCCAACAGGGTTGAAAGTATAAAAATCCAGATTGTCAGGCATCTGGTAATCTGAGTTTGGGACTCTTTTGCTTCAGGGACATCCTCCAAGGAACTTAATCTGTAGAAATTCATTGCTCCCATTTGGCACTTTCTGAAGACAAAGCCTCAGAACCTTCACTCTGACACTCACTGAGCTAGGTGTTCTATATTAATGTGATGGCTGCTGTGTTCCCATCATTACCTTTCAGTTTTCTCTCTCTCCTTCACTGGGCTTTTGTCGACTACTTCCATCAGCGCTGTTAGCATATTAATCACTTTGCTTTTAAGTCCTTGGTATGATAATGTAAATGTCTCCTTTGTCTTTCTCCAATACTTTTCCTGTCTTGAGAATTTTTGAGAATTTTTCTTGAAATCCACAGCTGATTAAATGGATGACATAAATTGAAATCTGATTTCATGAAAGTTCTCAGTTTATTTGGGTGAGTTTATGGTATGTTTTTTGTATGCTGGTGATTCTTTGTTGTGGACTAAAATCCCCTCAACTGTTTTTTTTTTTTTTTGTCTGCTCAAATGTCTTGGTTTCACATGAGAGTTCTGCTGTCCCTGTTCCTCAGTTATGCCATTTGAGTCTGTAACGTATGTGTAGATGTGGAAGGTAAGAAAGCATGACTGAGTATTGTGATTTACACTGTGGTTTTAGTGAGCTTTAGCCTGGGGCATCACCTGTCTAAAGGCTTCCCAGTGTCCCTACTCTCTTTCCAAGTTGTGGGCACCATTCCGCACTATCTTTTGACCAGAGTCACGTGATTGGTAAGGGTGAAGTGTTGGTGGCAATAGACAGTCACCTGATTCATCCAGAGTAATGGAGTCCTCCTGCTCATACATATGTTGATTCTGTGCTTAGGGAGCCATTATATTCCTAACAGTAGTTATGCATGTACTCAGTGTCTCAGTGAATATTTTTGAATTCTGTTACAGAAAAGCAGCACAATGAAGTCCATGAAAAGGAACAGGCATCTCTGGTGCTCAGGTAATGATCAGTGGGGTTCTGCATTATTGTGAGTAATGTGTGTCCTGTATCACTGTTGATCAAAAGAAGAAGTCAAAGACAACCACAGATTTTATGAGCACGGGTAAGCAAAAGTGCTGGTGCGATTACATATACCCAAAGAGTGAAGAAGCACCTCTATGCCCAAGGTGCTCATTTTCCTTTAGTTGCACATTTGTATAGCTAAACAGATCGAAGCAACTCACTGGTGTTTAAACTTGCAGAATGTACTCTCTGTTTATGGACCAGTGAAGGAAAAGATATAAATCTTAAAAAAAATGATGTAAATCTTCTTCTGTATAGGCAACCTTAGTTCGTTGCCTGGGATTTCATACCAGTGAACATAACAGGATATATATATATATATTCTACAATGCATAAGATATCTTGAATTCTGCAGTGTCCTAGGAGTAAAAATTTGGTATGTGAAATCAACACAATTTAAAGAAAATATGGTGTTACTGGTTATGTGTATTTTTGTGATTTGGTTGGGTGATACAGGGAGCCTTACTTTCCTTCCCCATCACTTATTTTTCTGATCAGCGCAGTGAGCTCCTCTGCCTGTCTCCCTCTCTCAAGGCAGGTGCACTCTGCTCTCCTCCTAGGAGGATAAATGTCTCTGCATTGAAGGTCGTGCTCCTGCTATTGTGTGACTACTCACTTAGGCCCCTGTCAGAATCACCAAGGAGTCTTTTATTCAATCTTCCTTGTTTTACTGATATTCCTTATCCCACCAGGCTGAGCAAGGAAGGAATGGACCAAGACACAGGAACAACAATGCTGCCAGACTCCTTGCATGTAGGTCTTAAGACAGGCAGCTATGTGTATGACTTCCCCACCCACCAAGAGCCTTGCTGCACCAGGGCTGTATTTTCAGATGGACATGAAGTCTTATCATCTCTGCATGCAGCCCGTGAGTCCCCAGTAAAGAGATCTGTGTATATACCAACAATTGTTCTTTTAAAAAAAGGTTTTATTTAAAAAAAATCTTTTATTTATTCGGTAAGGGTCTCACTGTGTAGCTCACACTCTTAATGATCCTCCTGTGTAACCTCCCCCCTGACTGGCATGTTTCCTTGGCCTGCTCAGCATGCAGTACCAGGGATAGAACCTGGGTCATTGCCCTTGCCAGGCAGGTGCTTAGACCTCTTAGCTATCTCCCCAGCTCAACTACTGTTCTGAGATTTAAATGACAGATTCAAGGTCCTATAATGGTTCCTTCTAACTTTATTTACAGAAAATGTGCCTGATTGTAAGGATGAATACTCACAGTCAAAGGGCTCCAGGTAAGTGACAGTTTAGGACTTCTAATTGTAACTAAGAACCTATGGATATCTCAGAGGTGGTAGATCCCTGGGAAACATCATTTGCTGAGTGTAGTGAATCTATGTCATCCAATCAAAGCATTTCAAACTTTGAGTTACTCTTTTTTTTCTGTATTTAGGACAGGGTCTACAGAGTGTACAGGTTCTTCAGGGTCTCACTATGTGGATCGGACTCGTAGTGATTGTCCTGTTTTCAGTCTCCCAAGCACTAGGATTATAGGTGTGTGCCACCATGCCCAGTATCAATCACTCTCTACGTGTGCCACGTCATGCTGGGGATTGAACTCTGGCCGCCGCACTCTACTTAAGTAGGTGCATTTGTCCATTGAGCTCCCAGGCTGGCCCGATGTGTATTATTCTTGATCTTAGCCACAGGCAAAGAAGTTGTCAGTGTGTTAATGTGGCTCACTTCATTTCATTTTCAGATATTCACTATTACTTCTTGCTAGCATCTTAAATGCATTAAACAGAATTCAGATGAGCTGTGCACACTCATGAATTTCAAAATTGTCATGTATATGCTCCTTGTTGACTCTGATCAAAGTCCAAGAATGTTGCCTGTTTGGTATTTGCAAATTGGTTATAGATGCTTTGTTTTCATTTACCTAGAAATATAAATAGATAAAAATTCAAGGCCATAGAAGCGATAATTATAAAATGTTTTAGAAATTAACTTCCTTTCCCGTGTAACTATTACTAAACTATCTTATGTACTTTTTTGTCTACCTGTGGCAACCTTGCATTTGAGAGGTTCCCCTGGGATGTATTCAGAAAAATCCATCTCATTGTCCTTATGATTCACTTCACACCACTTACACTGTCTTTGTTTCCTTTTTGCCTCTCTTAGAAAATATTTTGCTATAATTCACCATCATGCCAAGAAGCTGACCGAGTTATGAAAAATGCTACGTGAAGGCAGAGATGCCTCTCTGTCCCTTGGGCGGCATCTGGAGTTTCTACTCACTCAAAATGTCCCTGAAGATGACCGGGCTCAAGGCCACATAGAACATCTGACTGAGGCGTGCAAGATGGCTGAGGAGCTTGTCCTGAAGCTCAGTGCAGGTGAGAGGAACACACATCTTGATGAAAGGGAGCTGAAGTTGGAAGACAGGTATTTCTCAAAAAGGGAGGGAATCAAGAAATGAAGATAAATTTATCTTTCTTTCAAATCTGAACTTCTACCTTCATTGAGAGAGAGGAGAGAGATGAGGGAGTGACAGGGAATGAATGCATATGTAGTGTGTGCTATAGCAAATGCCTGCACAGAATGTCAGCGATATGTCCTGAACATATATTAATAACATTTAGGAACTGCTTTGTTATCCAGGCTGTGTAATCACATCACATTCAACAAGTTACAGTTGAATGCATTCTCAGAAATGCATTCTCAAAAGTTCTGTTACCTATCTGTCCAATGGTGACTGTGACTTGCAGGATAGCTCTCACAGCAAGAGTGGGGAAATTAACCATTGTATTCAAAAACAATAAATTCCAGATTGTGGGTTTACTCAAGATTTTGAGAAGGAGGAATTCAGTGTTGTGAGTATTGGTGTAGTCTGAGGTACTTGGCACACAGAGGACCTCCCTGGAGAAGAACACAAAAGCTGCTGGGGCAGGACACAGGATGCTGACAAGGGTGCAGGGGCTTGGATGAGGGTAGTGACCTCTTCTTAAAGGTGGAACTTGGCTTGAAGGAGACATAGGGCAACAGATTCTGTACCTGGGTACTACGCTTGTGACAGGTGTGTGGACACAGGGAGTCAAGAGGAAAGCTGCATTTGTATCTGATCACCCGGGGAACGAGTAGCATTTTTAACTCAGAATATCCTGTCATACTGTTGCGCAGCTCAAAGTTAAATTTTCTGACTGATCTCCATGACAAACCAGATACATTCTTCAAAGACAAAATCTTGAACTACTCAGTTTACTTCTCTCAGTATATCCTAAAGGCATACTTTAAGTATTTGTGTCACCATCTAATTCTAGGCCTGGGTGGGATAGTACTACTTGGTTTCTGATTGTATATTTACTACCTTGCAGGAAGCAACGAACAGGGAAATGCTGAAAAAGAAGAAAAAAAACTTCTTCCTAACATGGATGATTCTGACAGGTAAGATGCAGTGTTGAATCACCAAGAAGAATGTACTCACACTGATGATGTGAAGGGAAACGTAAACTTCTGTCTTTAGCGGTTTCATTACCCCAGTCCACCAGGCCAGTGTCTTCTTTGAAAGTTGCTCTATTCTTTTTAGGCATTCTGGAGTTGATCTGAGTAACCTTCTGGTTTCCCACTGTGCTCAATCATTCCTGCCCTCTTGCGTATGAAAAGTCTCAGGTGGGATTCATATTTATCTTACCTACATCTTTTGAGTTAATTGTTGGAAATTTCACAAATTAGAAGGAAATTATAGAAATGTACAATTATGTAATATCTGTATAATTGCACTGTGTCACAATTTTTGAAAACATATACAGCAGAAGAACTCTGCCAATGTACACATTCAGGACCTATCTTGTTCATTTGACATTCA